GAAGTACTGTACCTTTGCTCTGGCCAGCATGGAGCCTTATCTTGCTTCTTTACAAACCTTTTTGCAGGGCTCCCCATTAGTTTTGGTGGGCAGGCGGGAAATTTGAGGATGGGGCTTCCTTCTCCTTTTGCTATACTTCTACAGTCTAGTTCTCGAATACTAAAAGGAGTACCGCCCCCAAAGTCTATTTTGGGAGGACCCCCCCCCGCCCTTTAACATTGAAATATCTTTTATCCCTTATAGTCATTATTTCCGGGTGGGGGGTCCGCCTAAAATCTAGTTCTGGGGTGGGGTGAGTACCCAAGGAATGAATCCCAAAAGGGCTCCAGTTCTGCTGTCGTCCTAAGCTCTGCCTAGCCCTAAGCCTGAGGTAGGGTTTCAGACTTTAGGGCCTGATGCTATTGGGTTGAAAGGTTCAGGGTTTAGTGGTAAGGGTTTAGGGGTTAAGGGTTCAGGGTTCTGGAGCACAGGTTGCTACTGCCAACTTTGGCCTTGTTAAGGGACCCTTGACAGTGGACATCCGGGTCCTTCTTGTGGTTTAATATAGTCCCGAATATAGTCCCTGCTAAGGAACCCATGTCAATTAGATGATTATGTAGGAAATATTGGCTGTAGTTCACATGATGCTATAACTGGGTAAGGATTATGCGGGAACAGTGCTCCGAAGTGTGAATTATCCATGGCTCATGCAGTACCAAAGTGGAATGTCTCAGCTTCTTGGCATTGTCAAATGGTCCCCTCAATTACAAACTCCTATATCAAGAACGGAAATGGGTCAACTGCACAAAAAGCAGTCGGGTGGCTGCCAGGAGAACTTCCTCTTCCTGAACAAGGGGCCCATCAAAGGAGGGGATTTCCATTGCGCGTGGTGTACTTGGAGGTTCACAGTTGATAGGCAGTTACACTAGAAATATGGACATAGAGTGCAAATCTCTAGTTTTTCCAGCCCGTCCCCGGTATGTGTAGCCCTACCCGTAACTACCTAAGAATTTCCAAGCAGAGCTTGTTTCCTTTTCTCTCGAACCTACGGCTTCAGTCTTGTCATCAGAAATCAGCGACATGCCTTGCTGTATCAGCATTGTCATTTAGCTTCATTCAGCTTGGGATCGGGGTTTAGGGTTTAGGGTATGATTTGAGACATGTTCCTGCGTAAGTCAGAGGCCTTGCGAAGGAAGCTGCGTGAGCAGACAACAACATGCCTTGCGGTCATCCGGCAGTCTTATTTCCCCCGCTACCACCCCCCTGCCAAAGCTCAAACCCTAAGGCTCATCTGCCTGAAGCGGCTGATGTTAGCAATGGACCGCATTTGAGCTATAGGCTAAATTCCTTAAAGGGGGTTATCTAGGGGATTATATATATAGGGGACTACAACAGGGGTATTCAGGGGCATACTAGGAGTTTACGCAACAGCTCATCTGGGCCCTGTTTTGGAGGTGCATGTCCATCATCCCTCCATTTGGCCTTGTATTGATCACCCCGAGTAGTTGCAAAATCCCACCAACCGCGAAGAAGACGGCAGAAGCCTTCCCTGTGCAGACAATGTCCTGAAGATCATTGACTTCGGCATCGCGGCACACTTTGAGGCACCCGAACTTCGATTGCAAATCCTTACATTGTTGAAGAGTCTGTGACACGGACCTTTTATAGCCCATCACCCTTTTCGCATAAAACTAAATTAAGGCTTATCTTGAAGAGCATGAGCCCTTGTGGGAATAATTTGAACTCTGCTGCACTTTTCCGCAGGGCTCGATGTGGCTCTGGCATCAAAACGGGTCTCCGTTTTGGTTGATTTTTCTGGGCATTGACAGGGTCGCTCTAAGAAATTCCGAGGTTACCGGATAGATTCCTTCTAAGGTTCCTTCTTAGGGGGTCTGTCCTATTTGGAGTCCCCTCGGGAGTCTTACCCTAGGTAAGGTTTGGTCTACTTGTTTATATGACCTGTAGTCTAAACTCCTTCAAGGGGGTAATATAGGGGATTATATAGGGGGGTATTATGGGGCTTTTGTTTGAAATGGAGGAATGGACCTCTAGAGTCCCTGTAAATCCCCCATAGTAACCTGTTGCCCAGCTAAGCCTGAATAAGCCTAACACCAAAGTCTCAGTTCTAACCAAATTATAACCCGATTGAATTTATATTAGCAGCTCAGAGGCTTATAAGGACAGCTATGAGTAGGTTTAGGGTTTAGCATTATACTTGCCCCGAACCTCAAGCAGCAGCTCTTCATAGAAAGTTTGTCATGGGTACAGCGTCGGTCATTTTATAAGTGGTGGGGGGGGCAGCCTCCCAGTCTCCCAGCGTAAGGAAGGAGACGTGAGGAGCGGTTTAGGGTTTAGGCTTTAGGGTTTAACGTGTAGGGGGAAGGAGAGGTGAGGGGGTGTCCCTGTCCGCATTTCCCATTGAGCTCGCCCCTGAGATTGACAATCACTTTGCACTTGATCTTCTACCATGCTCTTTGCCAAGGCAGACGCTCTGAACCCTAAACTTTGTGTTCACCAGTCTAGGTGCAGCTAAGACCATCAGTGAGTCCAAACAGACCTCCAAACCCTAAACCTTAGACCCTCAAGGGTTTTTGTTGCGCCGTACAAAATGAATAGTGAATGCCTGGAGGGGTCGACACCTCTCGATTCCAAAATATTCCGAACGTCAACTAAGGTTCCGTATATACTTGGATTTGCACTCCTGGCACAAGGTGTACTGAGCTCCCTCATTCGATGATGTGTATTTCTACGCGTACTATTACTGGTATTTCTGTTCTCAATCTTATTTGCATATCGTGAAAAATTTTCTTGTAGTAGTATGATGCTTGAGCGCCGCCGATTTGTTCCCAACCCCCCTGGATGCACTGAGGTGGCGGGGTTTCATTTTCGACGTGTAGGGTTTAGGGTTTAGGGTAGGGGCATCGGGAGACACACTAAGTCTTTGAATCTTGGAAGTTTCCACTCTTCACGCTGAGCCCAAGCACTGCAAACTTTAGATCCTTTCATGCCAAACCTCAAGCCCTTCAACCCTGCATGCCCAATCCACCTGAAGCCTTTGACTTGAAAGGTGCATCGACATTCCGTGGCGTCCTTCAGCTCGAAAGTCGGGACGTGCTGCCTGCATGTGGGGATTCCCCAGAGGACCTCTTCCAAGGTGTAGTACATACAGGCTGACCCATGGGCCCCGAAATAGTTGGAGTCCCTGGAAGTTGATATAGCATGAGCAACCTAGTGCGAGCTGCCTACTTTCGGCATCCTGCTCCTGACCAGTCCGAGCTACGTATGATGGGGGTTCCCCAAAATCCGGGGTCCCTGTCTGGAGGTCCCCATAAAAAGGATTATGGTGATTTTAGTATATTGGGATCTATATTGGCAGTTCCTTGTTTTGAGGAACTTACCAGATCCCAACGTAGATGTCCCTCCTTTCTAGGCACCACACATGCTCCCTTGAAGAGGAGGTTACAAGGTAGGCTGTGGGTCGAGTGAGTTCCTCTTGGCAGGCCTTACTACGTGGCACCAGAGATCATCGAGAAGTTCTCCAGGCCATCTAGGGGTTTCCCAAACTTAGGGATCCTTTTTGGGGGCCCCTATAAAAATCACGATAGTATCTTGGGGTGTGTAGTTGACTCCCTCTATTTTAGGGAAATTGCCATCTAGGGTTTCGGATTCGGGGTTTAGAGCGAAGGCTCTCGAGAGGCCACCAGATTGCCATGACGGTTCTCATTTGGCAAGATGAGGGCTTCTTGGTCTTCGGCAGACCTTCGTATACCTTAATAACATGATCCCCAAGGTTTAGGCTACCCAGAGTCATGCAAGACTTTTAGTATTCACCACAGTGGTGCTACATATAATTGCTTTCGTGTTCTTGAGTGCGCCGGTCTTGTGACCTCTTGGAGGGTGTAAGCTGTGCAGGGCTCAGTGTCTCGAGTACATTGACCAGTGAGTGCCGAACACAGGGTACAGGTCTGCCCTGTTATGTGCCATATCAACCATGCTTGGACTTGTTTGTTTGAAAAAAGCCCAGGCTAGAGGAAGACGTTTAGGTGGAGCGTTGGAGTCCTGCGACCGTTCGACTGCTTTCTGTGACCATGCTTTCAATTTATGGTCACCTTCGTGCGCGCTGTGTTTCCCGCGTTTTCCGGAGGTGTAGCAGTGCCAGCCAGTATCCAGCAAAAGCGCAGTCTTCGTGCTTGCCTCTTGCAAAGCAGGCGGAAGGAAGGCGACAGCTCGACGACCTTAAGATTAGGAGCCAAAGGTTGCGCGCTGAGCTTGCAGCTACGCCTTGGCCGAGGCTTCCTGGAGTTCATGTGAACGATTGTTATCATCCACTGCCTTGGTCTGGTCAGACCAGGGAGAGGCGCCAACCAAATCAATCCATCTTGGAATATCTTTCAGGCTTCTTCGATGGCGATGGCACCGTCCAGTCTGAATCTTTGAGATCAGGGTGTCGCCTGCGAGTGTCGCAGTCCTATGACTTTGCTGAAGTGCTTTTCCTTTTCCAGGAAAATTTTGCTGGTGGTATATATCGTGAACATGATGGCGTTGGCTTGTTTAAGCCGAGTTTGACTTGGGTTCTCGGTGGGGAAGAAGCACGTGATGTAGCGAGATTGATGATGCCCAACAGCATTGCAAAACAGAGGCAGCTTGAAATAGCTGCATGTTGGCCGACCCAAGATACTCACCGCCAAGCAAGTCACAGGCAATTGCAGGCCTTGAAGCGGCAAGACTCGGCTGTTCTGAGCTCTTGCAGCTGGAGTTATCTCGCAGGCTTTTTTGATGCAGATGGTTGCATTCAGGTAACAACCGGGGGATCGCTTGTGTTGCTTATCAGTCAAAAATTCCCAACCATCCTGGAGCGCATATGCGAGTTCCTCGCAAGTGAGGCGGATCTACGCACACACCCCAGACGCAATGGAAACGTGTTTCGCATAGACATTCATCGTACACATACATCCAAAAGGCTGCTGGAAGGAATGCTGAATGCTGGACTGCTCCGGAAGGCCGGTCAAGCACGAGTTGCGATGACTCTGCTTCCGCAGAATGTTGATTTCGTTCGACAAGCCTTGACAGAGTTCACAGGAAATCAGATGTTTGGGAGGAAGTTGGATTTGGCTGGCATCATCAAATCACGTGAGATCTCACTTCTCAAGTCACAGGCAAGGCGACTGCGTGCAAAGGGTGAGGGGCAGGCCGCAAGAACAAAGAGCCAGCAGGCAGAAGTGCTTGCGTATGAGCTGGAATTGCATAAGTCACAGACGGAAGTTGAGCAGCTGGAGAAATATCTTTGCTGGATTCGCTCTTTGCCTGCAATTTGGGAAGTGAGTCCACGGAGGAAGGTCCACATTCCTGCGCCACAACAACAGTATCACTTCTCAAGTAGCAGCGGCCAGTCACGGTGATTCTCAAAGTTCTGCCGGTCGCGGTGTTCCAACTTGGTGCCAGACTACGAGTCTGACACATTGTATCTGGGCTCTGCTTGACGGCTGCGCATGCCAGAGCTGAACATGGCAAAAGGGCAGGGTTCAACAGAGAGCCAGTCAGGCTTCTAAGTATTCAACAACTTACTGGAGGTTGGTAGGGAATAAGGGAGTATATAGTGATTATATTTAGTTATTCCCAGCCAGCAAGGGAGATGGCATTTTGAGCGATAAGTCAAAGTGAGGCATTTGTAGCTCACCAACGCGGGGCCTCCTTGTGAATGTAGACTTTCGAGAACTTGATTGACACGGTGGTAAAACGCTTGCGAGTTGGTAGCAGGAATACTTGCAAGAAAGTGAACCACTGAGAATGTTGAAAGTATTGGCCATGCCAGCTGGGCCTACATAAGCGACCACTCAGAACGGCACAGGAGAAAACGCCCCCAGAACCAGGGAGCCATACTTTCAAGTTTAGAGCTTTCAACTTCAAAATGCTTCAATGCATGTTTTTCTCCAAATTCAGATTCCCAAAAGTACGCCCTAGATACTCCTAGATACTCCACCCTGTCTTTTGAGAACTTCCAATGTTGAAGCTCGATCTTCGCAGTAACGTTTGAGATTTTCTGTATGGCAGCTGGTTTCGGTAGGATCCTTGATGATTTGGAGTGCTGTTTCCAAATTTTCTTAGGGTTTGGGGTCAAGGGCGTCTATGGCAACACAATATGCACCAAAACCCTGTGACCCTCAAAGTCCACAGAACGTTGTGGGTGGTCCGTCCATTGAAGGCCCATGTCCGTGACCCCAAGCCCTGAACAATATGTGAGCTATACTCTAAACCCCTTAAGGGGTTACTAAGGGAGATATTATGAGTTTAGACTCTGGCCCATGCGAACAGGTACAACGAGAAAGTGGACTGCTGGAGTGCAGGAGTCATCATGCAGAGGGCTTGGCTGAAGTTGGGGGTATCTATCAATAAGCCCTAAACCTTGGGAACTGCCCCCACTCATTGACAGCTGATAAACAATTACAATATAATTTAAGTATATAGAGCCCTTAATATGGCCCTAATGTAGACTGTCAGTGGGTGGGGGCAGATCCAAACCCTAAACCTTAAGCCTTCAACCCTAAGACCCAAACTTTCAACTCGAAACCCTAAACCCTAAGATTCTGTGGTTTGTGGGAACCAAGCTGTCTGTTTCTCAAGCTGAGCCATGTTCGGACCCATTTTGCATTTTCTGAAAACTTTTCGCATTATGACCATATGTACTATCGGCTAAACTCCTTAAGGGGGGTTATTTAGGGCAGTATGTAGGGGACCACATATGGTTTAGGGTCCAAACTCCTTAAGGGGGGTTGTAGAGGGGGAGTATCATGGGCGTTATCAAGGGGAATACTAGGAGTTTAGACGATAGCTCATATAGTCCCTGTGTAAACATTATGTAGACAGCCCTTGTTTTTCGCCCAAAAAGGGTCCCCCTTGTAAAGACCAAAAATGTGAGAGTATTGTCTTCAGCATAGGAGTTCACGAAAAGAGCCCCAACCTCAGTTCCTATACGCCCCCATATCACACCAACAGCTCCCCTAAACGGACTCCTGCTATTCCTCACCGGTCCAAATCCAGAATATTTTGCCACCTCATTTGACTTTTGGGATTGGAGGCCTGGGGTGTGGGAGGTCCATATTTAGGCTGCTGATTCCACCCAGTATCATGGAGTATATGTCAAATTCATGGAGTCCCTCAGATTAGTTTTATTCTGTGATTACATGGAGCCGCTACTTATTAGGGGCTCCATACCTCAGAATGCAAGATTCGGGCCTAATATGAATCTTATGTTTTGTACTTTGGAACTGGCCATATTCAAAACCTATTACAGAGCCCTAAGAGCTTAAGATGAATTGCGTTTCGTCGCCGAGCCACTCATCCAATGGTGGATGAAGGAAAGCTTGCACTATTCCCGACAATGCTGTAGTTCCCATGGTAGAGGGTATGCAGGGTGACGCAAGATTTCATCCATGCGCTGAAGTGCAAGAATATCTTTAACAAGCGAAAACATTAGCTATTTCGCAGAATACTGTCTTAAGCTTACTGCGGTGGACGGAAGAGGTCTTTAGTTTGAAGTGTCAGGCTAGAGCACTTCAAAGAAGATCCCACAGAGACACCAATGAATTATGACACAAAAGCTGAGATCTCAAAGTCCGCCAAGGTTTCTAAAGGGTGTTCTTAGAGAAGTTTCACAAGGATATCCATTTTCAGGAGTTGCCCAGCTTTTCGACTTTCGAACCCTCAGTGCACTTTGGGCCCTTGATGGGGGAGCGGGGCAGTAAATATGGGTACGATATAAGGGATTATAGGGATTATTGCAGGGCCCACACCTCCATGCGCACAAAGCGTGGAGCTGGGCTTAGGTTCCCTCTAAGAATTTTTCAGAGTCGCACCAATTAAAGTTATACATATATCTTGAGGTATCTTGTCTTCTCCCCGTATCAGCCAGCCTGATGTAAGTCTTGGGTAAGCTGGTTAACTCCCCGCCTGTAGAACTGTTTAAGACCACTGAGGCACAGATCACGTAAATCCCAAACTCCGAACCCCAACCTGTAATCCCTGAGCCCCAGACTGCCCTAAACCCAAACTCGCAAATCCAAAGCCTTAAGCCACAAAGCTGCAAGCCCAGATGACTGGGTTGCTGTTAGGGAACTTAGATTATGTTACCATAACATGCGTACGGAGTACATAATAGGGTTTCCTTATTATGGTATCTTAATCTCATCTCCTTAACAGCAACCCAGATGGTTTTGATCCTGTTCCTCCGCTACCGCTGAAATCTTGTCAAGGTATATTTTGCTGTCCGGGATGTTCCCCTTCAAAGGCGAGAAGACAAAGGCAACTTTAAACAAAGCGCCTGACTCAGACAGGATTTGGGTTTCGGGTTTGGTGGGTGTAGGGTCTAGGGTTTAGGGTTCAGTGTGTAGGGTTTAGAGGTTCAGGGTATAGGGTTGGGGTCGCGGAAGCATTGTGGCTTGGTTTCTGTGGTGAGGGCTAATTTTGGGTCTTCTTTCTTGTTGTGCAGTGGAGCCTATTCACATATTACTTTAAGGCCTTGGAAGTACCTTCCAGATTGAGATCGCTCGAGGTTTAGGTTGGATACTGCTCACTCATTAACAGTTGGATGCTGTTTTATATCATAAGCATTCCTAACCTTTCTTATGACCTTAGTAGAGACTGTTACTGGGAGGGGGCAGTACCCAAGGTTTAGGGTTCAGAGCTTCGTGCTAAGAGTTTGAAGTGTGGGGGACCAGCTTTGAGGTCTTCTCGGTGTAGGGTGCTACCAGCCTGAGCCCTGAACCCTAAACCCTTTCTTCCCTTGGGCTTTAGGGTTGTCTTGGGTTTGGATGGACCCTTCGTTGAGATCTGCAGAATCCGCAGGGTGCAGGGTAAACTGTAGAGTTCTTGGAAGGTATCAGAAGCGGAGAGGCCCAAAGTCGTACATACCCTATTTAACCGCAGATTGGTATAGAATACAAAAAGGGCCCTTGCAACGTGACCCTCATTATGTAGGCTTCTAAACTACAAGCTAGGGCGTGACCCGGCATCACTTTAGCTTGATTGAGCCCAGGGCTACAAAGTTGCAAGACTGGTTACAGGTTGCTTCACACTGTAACATTTTGCAGATAGCAAGGCAAACAACAAATCCTGCACCCTGAGATGTAAGCTGTGTGTAAGCTTACATCCCTGCGATTCAGCACCCCTGAAAAACAACAGGACGGCGGTTGCCCTTACCCCTGAGATCAGGACCCCGATTTCGTCATGTGATAGCTACAGGGTCCTCACTGAAGGGTTTGGGTTGCCAAAATCATCTTCATAACTAATACTATCAATCCCTGTACACCCTTGTGTCACCCCAGTTCCCATTTCATTTTGGCCCTAAACCCCGCACAGAGATCCTTTGTATGCCCTTATACATCCCTGTATGAGCTATAGTCCAAACACCTCTTATCCCTCTTAATAAACCTTACTATACTCCCTATATATAAATCCCTATACAACCCCCTTCAAGGACCCGAGACCCCAAACCTCAAACCCTAAACCCAAAACCCTAAACCCTATACAATCCCCTACATAAATCCCTTTAAGGAGCTCATCTATCCCCTTTAAAAAGGACTTCCCGTCGTGTCATGACCAGGTAGCCGCGGCCAAGTTCGCGTTTCCGCCAGAGGTCTTCCAGGGCGTTTCGAAAGAAGCCAAGGCGGGGACGATGTACGCTTCAGAATGGGGGTGGGGGTGGCCTTAAGGGGGATTATAGGGGTCATATAGGTGTTATATAGGGATTATATAGGGATTATATAGACGCTGAACGAGTTCTGGGGGTTCACGGGGCTCTAGGGATGTATGGGGTGCCATGGATATATAGTGTTTAGGGTGCCCAGTGCTAAAGTTTAGGGTTTAGGGGTTGCAGAGTGAACAACAGGGTTGCCTAACTTTGGCAAGTTAATTTAAGTGCCAAAACAGCCATCTAGACTACCACTTGTTCTGCCCTGGCATTCCGTCTATCTTGCTGGCATGACCCTCCTTAGAAACCTAAACTCTAAACCCTAAACCTTAGTACCCTAAACCCCAAGAACCCTAAACCCTAGACCCTAAACCTGAAAAATCCTAAACCCTGAACACTTAACCTTAGAACCCTAAACCCCTAAACCTGCTCAGACCATCCATGCTATGGGTCTGCCCCAACATGATCCACATACGATCCTACGATTTCCTCAGAACCCCATTAGATTGCCGAATCCTTCAGGGGCCCCCCGTTTTGAGAAAGTACTTGAACCGTAAACCCTAAACCCTAAACTCTGAACCCTAAAAGCCCTAAACCCTAACTAGTGGTTTCCATTTTTCCATTAGGCTCCCATCATAGACGTTGAAGCAGGAGCTCATCAAGAAGCTCCTGCAGAAGAGCCCAGAGCGGCGACTTTCTGCTAAAGAGGCCTGC